GAAAGGGAGAAGCAAATGTAGTAAGTAAAAACAAAAACAATGAACAACTATAAACCAGAAACATGTTATGGGGTGGAAAAGGGAATGGGATAAAAACGGGTGGGAAGAGTGCACTGGATTATGGTGATGGCACACAGGTGAACTGGTGGTAGGAAGCCCATGGGGACTACAATTGAGATGAAAAAATACACAAAATGAATGATGTAAAATATAAAAATAAAGTAAAAATAAAGAGGAAAACACATATTTAAAAAATGATATTTACCAAAGGGAGGGATAGAAGAAATGGTAGGAGTGTAATAAATGGTGTGTGTTGGGGGCGGTTTGCATGTGGGAGAAGTTCTTTAAAAACTTAAAGGCAGATAATCAGGGAACTTTATTTAGATTTCTGTTCTAGGATAGCAATATCCAATGAAATGTATGAGCCACACATATAATTTTAAAATGTCTAGGAGCCAAGCTAAAAACAACAAGTTTTAATTTTTAAAAATTATTCTCATTTGAAAATATAATCGATATTTTTTAAATTACTGAGATATTTTACGTAGTTATCCAAGTATTCCATATCCAAAATCTGGTGTGCATTTTACACCTTAAATAGATCTGCAGTCAAACTAGTCATATTTCAAGTGTTCAGTAGTACAGGTTATAGTACTAGACAGAAGTTACAGGAGCAGAAAAAAACTGACCCATGTAAAATAAATTCATATACGTAAATTTACAATCCTAGAAGAGTGCATACATGCCAAAATAGTTATAAATTTGGGGTGGATGAGTTAATGAGGACTTCCACTTTGTAGATGCTATAATTAAAATTTCAAGGAAATCCATACAAGAACATGAAACCATCAATGCAAAAAAAATTACACTATTTACAATGTTAGGCATACAAAAACCACCTAGGTGCCTATCAATAGACAAATGGATCAAGAAAATATGGTATTTTGACACTATAGAATACTGTCCAGCAATAAATAGAATTATAGCAAAATGGAAGGAATTCAAGGTAATTAAGTATAGTAAAGCAAGTCAGATAAACAAAAAACAAAAAACCCCAACACTGGACATTTATGCAATGACCACTAGGCAATAAAATACACACATAAACTAGTGGACATTAATAAATGTCTTGGGGCCTCTGAGGTTAAAAGGGAGAGGGAGACAAAGCTACTGGGGATAGAGGGAGGGTGATGGGGAAAAATATTCCATGTCTTTCCTGACAATTATATATTTGTGTACATGGAGGTCAAGTTTTCAAACCAGCATTAGAAACAACTAAAATAACAAAGGGGGCCACCCTGGTGGTCCAGGGGTTAATGCCAGCCACTGTAGCTTGAGTTCAATCCTGAGCTAACTCACATGATACAGTAGACCTCATCTTGTCTGCTGCCCTCCCTCAGCAGTGTTATTTCGGCAGATAAACTTGTTCTGCTCCCCTCTCTCTGGTGAATCCTCTCACCCCTACATCTCTGGCTTACACCCCAGTTATTGTATACATAAAAAGAAAATCTTAAAAAATAAAGCCATCAAACAGAAGAAATATAACATCCTATTTGGTTGCTGACTTTTCCAATAACCCAATAGTAGTAATTTCACTATGTCAGACATAAATACTGAAGTTGCTCACTGTTATAATAATCATTATTGAAATGAAATATTCTATAAGCCCAGGTCATTTTTTTTTTCCTTTTTAAAAGATTTACTTATTTATGCTTACAGGACTGGGGTGCAGGCTAGAAGTGTGGTGGGTGAGAAGATTCACCAGAGACAGAGTAGGGAGCAGAACAGGCAGAGCTTCTGAAATACACTGCTGAGAGAAGTAACAGGCAGGTTAGGAGAGGTATGCCACACCAGGTGGGTCAGCTATGTGGCAGGGGATAGGAGTTGTGCTGCAGTGGCTTCGGAGAGCTTCATAACGCGATGCTTTAACCCATAGCACCACCAGGGAGAGTCCCCAGGTCATGTTTTTAATGGGATTTGAAAAGTGCCTGACTGTTCTGGTTTATTTTAATGCTTAAATAATTAAACCCTCTTACACAAAAATTCAACTTTAATAAAATAATAAATAGCTTTCCCAGGACAGCTTTTAAATAAAAGGTAAGATTTAACATGAGGCTGATATATAAATGAGAATATAGGCTTAAATTGTATAATGACCAGCTGGAAATACAACATTAATATAAAAGGAAGGGAAGACAGAAGAAGGGAGAAAACAAGTGCTTAAATGGAATGTAGCTATTTTATGTTCAGTGTATTTAACACATAAGTATTATTATTTCCCTAAAAAGGTTTACCTGTATATTTGAATCTCCTTTTATAAACTTTGCTCCTTCTATTATAGTCATGTAAGAAAATCTAAGTTGATCTGGTGTCTGAATAAGTCCCATTCGATACTTTCGCATATTCAGTAACAGCTGTTTAATATTAATATCATCTCCTTTTTCCATCTGCAAAAAAGTAAAAATTATTCACGTCTTTTGTTGAGACCGAAAGAGAAGCAAATCAAGAAAATTGCTAAGAGTTTTTCGATCTGCTTGTTCATCCTCAAGAAAAAGACATGCTGCAGTTGTAAACCAAACCACCACCGAAGCTACCATCCTCCCCACATCTAAACTGTTCAAGTAGTAGATAGAGGATATATGGGCCTTCAGCTGATTCACAAGTGATTCCATACCTACATAGCAATCTCATTCATCCTGGATTTATGGCCAGAGTCCACTTGTATTAGTGTTATTTTTCTTTTTCATTTCTTAAGATGTTTATAGCAGTAAATCTTTCTGCTTGGTGCCCTTTCCCTTCATGTCCACGGATAGTATTTATCTCAAGATGTTGGAAGGAAGAAAAGGGCAATGAGAGGTGATGAGAGGGAAGGAAGGAGGGGGGAAGGAAAGGAGAACCTAAATTTTGACAACACTGTTGACTTACTGCAACGATCCTGAAACACAGATGTGCTATCATGTCTAGTATACCCTACCACTACAAGTGAAAAAGAAAAATGTTGAAGCTTTATTTGGCAAAGAAGAGGTACAAACAAATAATCTGGTTTAACATTCACGATTAATAAAACAAACCATAGAATTTTAAACATGTCAGAGTTCACTTTAATGTCAGTATACTATAAAGGCAGAGTGGAACAGGGATACAGTAGATATTTTAAAACACCATTTCTATACCCTAGACATGTCCTGTATCTTGTGAAAAAGGTGGCTTTCCTAAAGAAGGAAAATACCTGTATGGAGACTGGGACTGGGACTGGGATTGAGCTGGTACAGAAAGGATACAGTTGTTAGGGCTATGGATAGGAATCCCAAAGGAAGTGTAACATATTATATTGACATTTATTGAATATCAGGGACACCTCTAAGCATTCTAAATATATTCATCATTTAATTCTCCCAAATGTGAGGAAACTATCATTATTTCTAATTTGTAAATAGGAAACTAGGTAAGAAGTACTTGTCTGAGGAGTTCATTATTACATATCAATTCAAACTAACCAGTAAGGGAGCAAGAAGGGAAGACCTATTATTTTTGTAATATAAAACTATCAGGATAAAAATCAGTCCTTTTGGAGATCTCTAGGATTATCTTGGATGCCTCCCTCAAATCACAAATGAGAGGTCTATGAAAGTCATAAATGAAATTTGTAGGTTCCAAAGACAACAGTTAAAAGTTTGAGGGAATAAAACCCACAAAAGTAGTTTTGGGGTACTGACATTAAGGCTAACTTCCGTCAATGGAAACAATATTAAAAGTCAACAAAACTTAAATGAGACCATAAGCAGCACTTACCAGAACCAGACAGGTATCTACCAAAGAAAAGGTGCCTGACCGCCCAATGCCTGCACTACAGTGAATCACTGCAGGCCCATGCTCAGAATTCAGGGAACCAGATTCTCTCACTTTAAATAAAAAATTGAGAAATGAAGCTGGTGATTCCGGGACTCCAAAATCTGGCCAGGTAGTGTAATGGAAGTGAGATATTGTTCTGGTTTCACCACTCTAAAAAGTGAAAAATCAAAGGGGAAAGTTAGTTCTACTTTTTTTTTTTTTTTTTTAAACCACTGCATAAAGATGTGTTTTGTGTAATACTTTCAATCCTTCTGGACTTTTTATATCATGATGTTCATCTGGTTTTGATAATATATATACACGTTGGGAGATTTTCTAAAGGGGAATTTGTACTATATTAATAATAGCTAACACTCCTGTAACATTTATTTGATAGGCATGTTCCAAGCTCTTTATTAAATTAATACATATAACAATACTGTTAAAACTTACTTTCCAGATGAGAAAATTGAGGCAGAAGATGAATAATTTATTGAGGCAGAAGAGGAATAACTTACTCAAGGTCACATACTTTGAAAACAGAAAAATCCAAGATCTGAAGCAGTTTGGTATAGCATTTGGGTCCTAAGCCACTAACTTGTATCACACGATCCAGTATTTGCTCTAATTCATATATCATGATGAACAGATTCTTTTCTATTTTGAAAAATCTGTTCCAGTATAATTTTAATGACTTTCTTTTTAAGAATTCCCAGCTTTTAAATTACACACACACACACACACACACACACGTCTATGTGTATACATACATATAAAGAAAATCTTCCCCATGAAATTTCTTTTAGATTCTGCTACACAGACAGAGAGAACTAATTTAAAGAACCAATCTCTATATTTTAACTCAAAATGCTCTTTTAATTGCTGCTTTACCCGTGGTAATAATTTCCAATGGGGAATCTGAAAATTCCAAATTTCCAATTTGCTGGTATGTTAAAATGGTTTGCCAACATACAAAATGTTTCTTGTCTCTTAAAGCTCTGGTACTCACAATCATCTCCTGAATATTCCTGATGATCTTTACTTCTGAATAAATAACTCATTCCTTAGCTCTTGCCAGTTACCTTTTGCCCCTAGAAGTACTTTTCTTTCTTACTCCTCATTTCTGTAAATGAAGCAGTAAATCTCTAACATGCACACCTTTTCAGCTTTATTATTAGACATTTTGAAGGACGGAATGATAGCAAGTGATAAAAGCATAATTTGCATACTATTTTCAATAAAAATTTACAAACTTAGTTTGTTAAAAGATTTTCTTTTTTTTGTAATAGAAATTAAGAATCCAAAGTCACCGACTCAATTATATGAGGTATAACAATGAAAAAAATACAATGTAGATTTTTTTTAAAGATTTATTTATTCATACAGAACTTGGGTATAGGCCAGAGATGCGGAGTGTGAGAGGATTCATCAGGGACAGAGTGGGGAGCAGAACAGACAGATCGACAAAGTACACTGCTGAGGGGAGCAGAGGGTGGGTCAGGAGAGGTCTGCCAGGCCATGTGGATCTCCTCTGGGGCAGGCGGGGATCGAACTCATGCAGAAGTGGCTTAAACTTCATAGTACAGTGCTTTAACCCGCTGCTCCACCAGGGAGGGCCCAATGTAGAAATTTTATAAAAGATTTATTTATTTATTTATGCATACAGAACTAGGGTACAGGACAGAGGTGCAGGGGCAGTTAAGAGGATTCACCAGAGATAGAATGGGAAGCAGAACAGGCAGATCAACAAAGTACACTGCTGAGGGGAGCAGCAGGTGAGACAGGGGAGGTCTAGCGCCATGTGGGTCACCTCCGGGGCTGGGGAATTGAACTAGCATTGAAGTGGCTGCTGCTCGTTTGCAGTACTGTGTCCTAACTTGTTGGCCACCAGGAGGGCCACAATGTAGAAATTTAAAAAAATTTTAATTACATACTTTTAGTGACTAGTTTTTAACATACAGTTTTCAGAATTCAAAACACTGTTATGTATAAGTTCTCAATAACTGAAGACAGCAAAAGATTTCCCAATTACTAAAAAAATAATTATATAACATTTTCCCTTAAATTCCAAATGTGCAGTAAGTCAGACTCTAACGACTACATGCCATCTGACTCCATTTATGAGACTTTCTGGAAAAGGCAAAATTCTAAGAATTGTAAAAATTGGCATCCATATTAGTGGATGCCAGGAGTTGGAGCTAGGGCAGTGGATGCATGTACAAACAGTGTGAAAAAAATCGGGGAAGGTGGGAATAGAATTGTTTTGCACCTTGAAGGGGAATAGCTGGTTTACACAACTAAATGTGCTGTCAAAACTCAAAATTGCATTAAAAAGAATATATTTTGCTATAGATAAAAAAAGGTAACTAAATCTACTTTTTAAAAAGACATTTGAAACACCCCAAATTAAGAAGATTAAACTGTAATTAAACTTTAAAAGTAAAGGACAGGTAATAACACAACCCACATAGTGAATAAGCCTAAAAGGCTTTTACTAAATTTTGGCTAATTCAAAGTTGCATTTTCCTTCAAAAACAGTCTAAGATTTCAGTATGCATTTTTAACTTCCTTTTGCCCCCTGACAACTGCCAGCTGTGGTCATCAGTCAACTAACAGTGCTGACCACACATGGCAGGCAGGGTCAGAGTAGGTTCACGTCAGCCTGAATGAACCTCCTATGGACTGGTGGAATGGTGGCAACTCCAGTCTGGGAGGTCTGTGGCAGGAAGTGTGCAAGCTGTGCTCACCAGGGTGTGGCCCACAGTTCCTGTATAGTTGTTTGCTATGTTACTGCATCACCTCCTGACTTAAAACCTATGGTTATCCTGTATATAGTGACTGCTTGCTCTTTGTATAATTTTGGCTCAAGTCTAGTGGTATCTACTTTTTTCAAAGTCAGGACTGATTGTCTAGGAGACTCAAAGTCAATTCCCAGAAATGGCCATGACTAGATATAAAATAATCTTCCCATCTAACAGATTTTTGAAAATCAGTCATTTTCTTCCCATACTAAAGGCCTATCTTGGAGGTTAATTTTCATTATTTACCTCTACTGAAAAAAATTCAAAAAACATATCTCACAAAGTCATATAGTTTCCAAAGGACCACGTGAAGTACTAAAATCTCTGTTTACTACTTCGGTATAAAAGCAATGTTGATATGCATGACTGGTTCTCTTTTCCCTCTTTTTCATGTTAAGAAAGAGAGGGAGGGAGAACTTATTGCCAAAGGGTAGAATCTTCATTCCAAAAAAAGATGTGCGTTTAGACCTTGTGGATTTTAGACAATCTCCTTTCAAAACAATGAAGTACTCTTTCCCTCCCTCTTGGTCACCAAATCATGTAAGATCCTCTGTGATGCCCAGGAGGTCCCATTTATCCCTTCACCATGGCTGTTAACTCACAGGCCATGCACAAAAAGGCTGCGCCACTACAATTATGTGACTGCTCTACCCTGTGGTTCTGTATATGCTTACTAAGTCTTCTTTGTAAAATGTTGCAGATCATATACTCCATTACACAAAAATTTTTAAGGCAGAATTTATATATTTTTGAAGAATTCTAAACTCAAAAGTCTGAGTAGGTACAAGAAAATGAAGAGCTAGTTGGCCTATAATAATTCAAAGATATTATTAAGAGACCATTACTACATATTTTCTGATGTGTAGACAGTTTTCTAATTACTAAAAAAAACAGCTGTAGGCCCAATTATTTTCATACTTTAGGCATACGCAGAAGGTATCTAGATTATGTCTCTAGAAGACTTTACTAAGTCCCAATTTCATTTTCTACAAGTGGAAATACTTACCTTATAATGCTATTAGCTATTAGTGGAGTGAATGAATATATGCCTGCATATCATAAGTATTTTATATGGCGATTTTCTGAAACAATTATACTAATTGCCTTTACTGTAATTCCTAATAAGTTAATCATTTATCCCTAATAATAATCAATTTTAACTTCTCTGCCTCAGTTATTATTCTCCTGGTAAGTTTTGTTAAGATCATTACATTGTCTATGTTAAATATTTAGTTACTACAATTAATGTTGAAAGATAAGACTCACCACATACTGAAGAGGGGAAAGTGAGACTAGCCAGGCACAGGGTTTATGCTCTAAGCAGAGAGAAGCAATATACAGGGGCTCTCAAGGAACAACCTATCTAAGAATTTTAAGCCCTTCAGCAAGTAAACATACTGAGTATCTGAGGGAGATGAAGGGACATAGGTGGCAAGGACCAGGCTGGTCTGGGTGAGGGACTTCTGCACTGGTAACAGAAGGATCATGCCTGAGAATAACCATCATTCAGGTATAGTGTGCTTAACAATATACATGGTATAGTCACAGAGGGGCGCACAAAGGTAACAGCCAAGGACTTTACACTCAAAGTTGAGTCAGAAACCTTGTTATGAAGCCAAAAAATAACACATACACTTATTGAACATAAATGCAAAATGGTGAAATTCAAATTATGGAGAGAAATATAAAGAAAATCAGAACTCTCAGGAATGAATATATCCTAGATATATTAAGAAAGACCTAAATAAGAAATGGGCCACTCAGTGGTACTGAAGGATGTGTAAAATATAATGAGTAAAGAACAGGGAGGACACTTCAGATGGGATAAACTGCTTAAACTATTTTGAATCAAATCCCAATTGACCATCACAATAATTAGGCACTCAAATTGTTTTCGGCAAATCTACAGGGACAGAGAAATAGAAGACAGTCAGCATAATAATAGTATTCCTGGAACTTGATAAACAGAAAGCTCACCAACAATATTATAGAAAATAATGAAGGACAACTTAAAAAAAATCTAAACAGAAGTACTTACATAAAAAAATTCTCCTCAAGCTATCTCCATAGCTTAACTCACAGGACAACTTGAAAGCAAAGATGGTGCAAGAGCTCAAAATTTTGTCTCTAAGCAAAAACACTGGAAAGGATTGCTAATACATAGTTTAACCACTCCATCAGACATAGTGGTCTCTGAAACAGGAACCACTGCATGCATGCTGCAGACCTGTTAACAGATAACAAGCCAGACTCCTGTGGAAGCAAATCCGTTCAGCTCAAGAATCTCAAAGGTTTGTACAGGAGCTATCACTTCTTTCATTATCACTTTCTTTTGCTATTTTGCCAAGTCTTTCTCCTTCAACTTGTTATTTGTTCCCTGATCCTTCCCAATGCATCACTAGAGGGAAAGACATATAACAAAAGCTAACAATTGTGTATCTTACACAAGTCTTGCACATTGTTACAGTATTTATTTGAGACTTACAACAACCCTCGGTGTAGCTAACTTCATTTCACTCATTTTACAGAGGAAAAAGCTGAGGGGTAGGGAGTACATGGATCAATCACATAGTCATGAATGGCAGAGTTTGATTTAAAACTCAGACCCAGAGTCTAAATACTTAAAATGGAATTCTGTTTTTTTTTTTAAAGATTTATTATTTATGCATACAGAACTGGGGTACAGGCCAGAGGCTTGGGGCGGTGAGAGGCTTCACCAGAGACAGAGTGGGGAGCAGAACAGGCAGATCGACGAAGTACACTGCTGAGGGGAGCAGCGGGGGTCAGGAGAGGTCTGCCACACCATGTGGTCACCTCTGGGGCAGGCGGGAATCGAACTCATGCGGAAGTGGCTTTAGCTTCTCAGTGCAGTGCTTTAACTCGCTGCGCCACCAGGGAGAGCCGGAATTCTGTTTATAACACTACTCTAAGCAGTATTAGTTGTGAAAGCTATTTTATTTTTCTAACACTCTAGTTCTTAATACAGATCGTAAAACAGAACATAAACAAATTTTTGCTATTAACTATAGTCAATTCTGAACCCAGGCCAGTTAAAAATTATAAAGCTGTAAGCAGCTGAAATACTAAATGGCTGGCTCTGTTCTGAACTTTGAAAATATCCTTTAGAATGGAGTCTTCTTTTATAACAATTAACATCTTTTTAAAAGACTTATTACCCCCAACCACAAGTGGAAGAAGATCTGAATTTGAGTTAACAATTGACATCTTTTTAAAAGACTTACTACCCCCAAACCACAAGTGGAAGAAGATCTGACTTTGAGTTCTGCTCTGTCACTTACTAGCTCTATCACTAGTCTCAAACGGGAAAAAGAAATCCTATAATGTAATGAATGGGGGGGTTATTATTATTATTTTAAAATCTAAAGTCAGAAATAGCAAGAGTACATACAGAAAGACTGGTCAAATGACATATGTAAAAGTACTTTGCAAAATGATATAATACAAAACCCATTCTATTTTATTATTACTTGGGATATAGTAAATTTTATATTAGAACAGATTTCAGAAAAAAGGAAAAACATCTATGCTCTTCGCCATCTAACTCAGTTTCAATGTCATAAACAGATGTGATGCTTGGAATAAGTACCAAGAAGATGACTCAGAGAACCTAAGAAGTTGTGGAAATGCAGTTCTGTTTCTGGGAATGGGCAATGTACAATTAAGTATCAAAGAGTTATTGATATATCTCAATGCCATTTAAGACATATTATATGGAATAGCTGGCTCAAAATAAATACAGTAAGGAAAATGTGTAAATAAGTCTAAGCCCTACTCTTCCCAACCCTGAGCATTCTAAAAATCTTCTGAGATCACATAAGAATACTTATAGATTTCATGAGAAGCTGTACCTGCGCCCTAAGTATATACTTATGTTTTTAGGATGCAATAAAAACCAGACAGCTATTCCTCAAAAAGCAATGATTTTATTTCTACATACCTAAAGATCACTTCCATCCATACATGTATCCATCCATTCTTTTTTCTGCAAAGCTCTTATTTTAGCGATCACATTTTAATCATTTTGTTCACTTAATGGTTAACCGATATAGCACCCCTCTAAATAGACTACCTACACCCTTGAAATCATTTTTTGGCAAACATTTTCCTATTTTCTAGTTTTCCTAGTTCCTAAAAGTACCTCAGAAGCTCACCTTTCACATTTCCCACCTATTCTAATTGCTAGAAGGAAAGGGTGTCCTGAAGGAACGCTACAGATGGTTTTGTTGACTCCACCTGCCACTTCGGACACTGAAACTACAAATCCCAGAAACACCAAAGTGAGGATTTCTGGGACCCGAGGTTGGAGTTAAGCACCATGTCTGATAAAATTCAAATCCCAGCAACACCAAAGGGAGGACTACTAAGATCCGAGGGTGGAGTTAAACAGTCATTTTGGGTTTTGGATATAAAACTTAACATGTTGAGCTGGGGGAGGCACAAGGAGCAGAGAGACATGTGAAGAAACTGTGTTTGCTTCTCGTTGGTCCTGGACTGGTTGAAACAGATGGGTGAAAGACCATGGGGAGGTTGACTATGACAGAGTTTATCTTGATTTGGATTCTGCTCTTTATCTCCCAGACTTGTTTGGCTATATCTGACCCTTTTCTATGGGTCCTGGCCAGAAGGTGCTTTAGGCTTGTAGCAGGTTTTCAGGCCTCATTTTGGGCCAACCCTTTTTGGGTACACGTTTACCCACAAAAGGATAGGTAACTTTGGGTGTCTGATTTAAAAACTGTATTCTTTATGTTGGCTACATTGCACATTGATTGTATCAAAGTTCCTTTCCATTAAACATCTTGTATGTCTTGTCTTGATGTAGTGGATGGCAGAACCTATTTAGAGCAGGCAGGTATGGGGGTTCAGTGGTGCCCCTCTCTCCCTGCCCTGTAACATAATTACAATACAAAGAAGGCAAAAGAGGTAAAAGGGAAAAGAGAAGAGAAATACCTTGAACCCCAGCATGACAATAGCAGGTCCAACAACACACCATGTACATGTCCCTCAACCAAGTACCAACGAATAATTCATATTTCTGGAAGAATATTCAAGTATGCTAAATTTATTTCACCATTTTCCTAAATTTAATAAGAACAAATTTTTCTTTCTTTTTTTTTTTTTGTGGTGAGTCACTTGTGTTAGCAATGTTCCAGTAAGTTATTTCCAGAATAGCTTGCTACGTTCCACAGCATTAAGTACCAGGATTATCATGTACTACATTGGAGGGCTTTGCACCTACATTTTCATTTGATCTTCACAGCATCCCTGAGAAGGAGGTGCTAAAATATCCATTTTACAGATGAGAAAAAGATTAAGGAGGCCAAAGAACACTTCTAAGTAGTCTTCTTGAGAATCCTCGGAGACCTACCACATGTAGGAACGCAATCTAAATACAAATGATCATGACTGTGATCCAAATGGTATATAATGTACCAAACTTCAAATCTAATAACAAAGACTAATTCTTAAAATCATATGAAGTTTAATTTGAAAAATCTTACACTGATATTTTCTAATTGCAGTAGATGTACTGTATAGTATGACTTCACATCTTCCGACAAGAACTTCACAATGAATCCTGTTTCTTTAAACTGCATCTCTTGGTCATCTTTAGTTGGCCAGTACTGTGCACATTTAACCTAAATGTAAGAACATGTATATGGTTGTTATCAGTTGACAGACCTTATAAAGCCATGAAAAAATTGAAAAAGGAAAACAAATCATAAACATGGTACATTTTTCCCCAACTAATTAAATCTGAGAACACTCACTATACTTGAGCTTTGATATATTTAATAAGATTCACATTTTATAAAAGCAGGAAAATGTTCCTTAAACTTACATTGCTAAAAAGCCATAAACAGATATGCTCACAAAATACAATGAATCTATCATTTCTGAAGCATGAGTGCTTACATTTTAACACCCTGCTAGCTTTCACTTTGTTTCTAAAGAATCAAAACTCAACAATTTATCTTCAAAAAACACTGAAACGATTTTATTTATAAGTATTTTTCCATAAGTACCTATGAATCTGCTATTATACTATATATCTAGAAAAAACATTGCATACTTACTTAATTAGACTATATGGGGGGGGGGAGAATTCAAAGATAAGGCCCCTTTCCCTCGAGTTGTTACATTTTGGCAGAACAAAGATGGAATTAAAAATTGTGACAATAGGGACCTCCCTGGTGGTGCAATGGGTTAAAGAAAAGCACAGCACTATGATGCTAGTAGCAGCACTTCACAAGTTCAATCCCCAGCCAGAGAGGTGTCCCACATGGCATGGCAGACCTCTCCTGACCCTCCCACTGCTCCCCTCAGCTGTGTACTTCGATGATCTTCCTGTCTTGCTCCCCATTCTGTCTCTGGTGAAGCCTCTCACTGTCCCTGCACCTCTGGACTGTACCCCAGTTCTGTATGCATAAATAAATAAATCTTAAAAAAAAAATTTGTGACAATAAGCATTTTCCCAACAGGCAAATTATGAACTCAGCATAATGACGTGAGGTAAAAATGTAAATTCAGTGGGGGTAAAAAAGAAAACAAAAAATACCCTCATCAAATGTGGCCAACTCTCCTTTTCCAAATCATAAATAGACACCAATCACAAACAAACAAAAACCTTCCAAAATAAATTAACACCATGAGTTAATTCTTTAAAAGGTGTTAAAACATACCTAAAGTGATATAAGAAGTGAAAGAGCATAAATGAGAATTAGAACTAATTCTAGCTACAAATAGGTAGACAAAATAACATAACTATTACTTCAGAATTGGAGATAAACGGAAAGGAAATATGAGTGAAGAGGAGGAGGAAATAAAGGTATATGTTCTTTAAATAGAAAAGAAATGCCCCCAAACAGACAACTGCATCAAAAAGATGTAGTATACATACACAATGGAATACTACTCAGCAACCAAGAGTAAACTCATGCCATTTTCAGCAATATGGACAGAGCTAGAAGGGATTATACTCAGTGAAATATGTCAAAGGAAAAAGAAAAATATGGAATGGTTTCACTTACAGGAGGAAAATAGGGGAACCAAACAAAGGATTAGGGGGAAAAAAGGACAAAACTAGCAGGCAAACTATACATTGGAAACATTCAGCAGGGGTGGAGAAAGGAGAGGAAAAGAGTGCAAGAGACTATGGTGACAGCTGACAGGTGTCTTCGTGGTAATAATTATGGGGATTCCATCTTAGAGGAGAAATAAAACTGGCACAAAAATGAACAACAACGCAAAAATTAATAAAATAAAAAAGAAATGAAGAGATATACAAATAGAATTAGAGAAAGTTTGATAAAGGCAAAGAAAATCTAATATACACATAATGGGAACGCCCTAAACAAGCAAAGAAACAGAATACTAACAGCATAACTCAGTAAATTTTTCTTTAAAAAACAAAAATATATTTTAAATCACATACTGAAAGAACACACTATGTACATGAAAAAAACTGACCCAGAATGACCAACACTAAAACCTATTTTGGTAAAAGGAAAAAGTGGTGGTGGTGGTGGGGGGGGGCCAAGAAATGAAATGATAAAAATTAAATTTAGAAAGGATATAAAATAAGATGTCCACTTGATTTTAATAGTGATTTGTAATAAAAGGAGGAACCGAGTAATATATTTAAATTGCTCAAAGAAAAGCAAAACTGAGCCAATTATCATATATCCTAACCAATATAAATATAAATATAAAGGCAGAAGTGTAACTGTAACTAACATGCAAAAAATAAGGAACTATAAGCTATTGAATCCTACCATGGAAGCACTAGAGAATGAGTGATAGAACAAGTGAAAAACCATCAATCATGACTGGTGATGTGTATTAAGTATATATTTACACGTTGAGCTACACTAAATTGATTTTAAAAGGAATAAGAGGAACAGCTATATGCTCTGACAATCAAGGTAAAAGTACAATTAAAAACAAAAAACAAAAAACCAGAACTAGAGAAAACATCTTAAATTTCTTCCAGTAATAACTGATCTCCTCCTGCCTATGCATAGAAAAATCTTAATTTGGTCATCTGTTAAAGACATTAGGGCATCAACTCTATTTTGAAAACTTCTTTTCCTATGTAATAAATAAATGGTCAAGTAAAATGAGAAATTTCTTTTTATAGAAACATTCTAACAAAAACACAGGGTGGAATGATAGACTTGGACTATTACTACTATAACTACTAATTAAGAAATCAAGCAATAACCAACAAATGACTGCTAATATAAAGAGAAAGATAATCAAACATTATCAAATTCATTTGATAAACAACACAATGCCACCTGGAAAGTGATCTTCCTCCCCAGAAATTAAACCTTACTCTTTATTAAGCCTCTACATCCAAATGCCATAAACAAATTCTAATTTCCAGTGGTAGTCTTGAATTATTAGTACAAAAATGATGGAAAAATTTTACAAATCATTCAGCTTTACATCCTGCTCAAACTATTAAAATGGACAATATCATCATCACTTAATTTTAAAATCATATTCAAAACCATAAAGACTATGCTGACTAGGCTGATATATAGACATTCTGGTATGTCAATGCAATTTCAACTTAGAAAAATGTTCACCATTGTTAAAAAATTGCAATTATGACTTAAAAAAAATTTAGGAAGCTGAAGAAATGAATATAATAGTCCAAGATCTTAAGGGCTGATGATTTTCCAATTTGCTTTTTTGACAGAAAAAGTATAAAGCTACAGAAGTTAAAAAGTTAAACAAGGGCTCTCCCTGGTAGCGCAACAGGTTAAAGCACTGCATTATGAAGTTCTGAAGCCACTGCAGCATGAGTTCAATCCCGAGCTAGGGAGCTGACCCACATGGTCAGACCTCTTCTGATCCACCCGCTGCTCCCCTCAGCAGTGTACTTTGTCAGTCTGCCTGTTTTGCTCCCCACTTTATCTCTGGTGAATCCTCTCAACCACTACACCTCTGGTCTGTACCCTAGTTCTGTAAGCATGAATAAATGAATCTTAAAAAAAAAGTTAAACTACTTAATAGCATTGCATTTAGATTATAATTAGAAATTTCAATAAATCTGTATATTCCCATATTTACTAGTCATTATTTAAGAGTTAATTTTTAAAGATGAAAGACCCCTCACATTAACTTTTTGTAAAATTTCCAAGATTTTCATAATAAATTATAAACATTCTAATAAGAATTACCGATTTCAAATATCTGTACATTACTACAGGTCAGTATTTATTCCATTTTATTTGTATCTCAGGGGATAGTGGTCTGCAATTGTTACTTAAGTATTCAAGAAAGGAATTAGTTCTTCTGGTCAGAAGCCCTTAAATACTATTATTTTTTTAAAAGATTTATTTATGCAGATAAGAACTGGGGTATAGGCCAGGTGCAGAGGGTAAGAGGATTCACCAGAGACAGCAGGAGCAGAGCAGGAAGATCTACTGGAATACACTACTGAGGGGAGCGGGGAAACAGGAGAGGTCTGCTGTGCCATGTGGATCAGCTCCCTGGTTGGGGATAGAACACTGCTGCAGTGGCTGTGGATAGCTTCATAGTGCTGTGCTTTAACCCACTGTGCTACCAGGGAGGGCCCTAAGCACTATTTTAAAGTAGTCATAGTCCATGACTAATGAATGGAAATCCCCCAAAGCTAATTTAGAAGTTAATGATCACAGACAATACATTAAATTTTAAATATTACTTACCGATTCTTTCTCTACGACTCGGTTTAGCATGACAACTGCTTTGGTCTTTTGCTGCCAAACCATAAGCCAGAAATGACAACCTGTATTAGGAAGTGGACCCTGTAAGAGAAAAAGTAAAGTAGAAAAAAGTTGAAGGAAAACTCCTTTAGGTATGTATCAGTTTCAGAACAAGTACAGGCACACTCATTTTATTGTACCTTGCTTTATTACCTTTCATACAGATTGCATATTTTTATCAAATTGCTACAAATGTAGCAATCTTGTGTAAAGTAAGTTCACTGGCAAGAAAATTTTCATCAGTATGTGCTCACACCACTATCTCTGCATCACATCTACTTAAGGTAGAAACATTGCTTTTTACACTTAATACCATTACATACTTAACAAACTATGTAGTATAAAAGTAACTTATGTGCACTGGGAAACCAAAATATTTATGTGACTTTGCTTTATTGTGATATTCACTTTAACTGTGATGATCTGGATTCAAGATGCAGTATCTCTAAGGTGTACCTGTATTGTTGAGTCAAATAAGTAATTTAAGACATGAAATCCATTTGAATTAAAAAAAAAATCCTGTACTAGTTTGGACTTTTTGGTTATAAATTAGCAAAACTGATTTTTATTTACTTAGGAAGTAAAGTAACTTCTTAGGCTTTGGTGGTATGTAGAGTTGAGAACTGGAGAACCAGGCTGGGTTGGAACCAATGTCAGAAAGATTTTGCCCACACAGTCAGTTTGGAACACTGCACTGTCACTTCTATCACCTTGCTTTGCTGGCAATAACAGCATAAATTTTCATGCACAATCTATAAGCACACCAGATTCTAAGTCAAGGCAGGAAGATCTGATGATCATGATATAGACAAAAAGGAAGTAGGAAAAGGAAATTTTTATCCTCTTCAGTTTCTAGTGCAGAAAGAGGCCCTCTTTTGTAGATATCCTACAAAAGAGGAAGTTTGTGCCATTACCATAAAGACAATCAACCCCCAAGTTAACTACAAAAAGATTTTCCGAAAAAGTTTAAACTGTAGTGTACCTGAACCCTATGACACGATTACTCTACAAAAATGACAGCATGTACAGCTGGAATAGCACACATCAAGGGGACAATAGTTCCTATTAAAATATTGCAATATTGCTGGGTTTGGGAGAGAATCATATCATATGTATTTCTAATGATCTTCACATTTTCTTAATGGTATGTAGAATGTAGAAGGGGAATTAAGAGATGAAAAGGCCATGCCCAAATCATAATTGATTTTAAAGGAGTAAAAGTTTAAATGAAGTTTTACTGTATCTTAATGAATCACTTAAAACTGTAACCTTGAGGGTAACCGTTCTTCTCACTCAACCTATCTATTGCTTGATTTACTTTCAAAACAAAAGTCTTATAAAGCTAAAAAAAAAAGGCAATGAGAAAAATCTCCAGTAAATGAATGCCTTTTCTTTCATCTTAAAAAAGGAATGTATCAATTTAACAATGAAATCTCACATACACACACACCTATATTTCAGCTCAAAAGTGGGACAGAAGGCTATCTCTCAGTTCTTTCACTTACCAGAAATGCTGCTGACTTACATATGCAAAATAAAGAAAAAGAAAAAGGTAGTATCAGGCAACAAAGAACAGTTAAAACTGAGAACTCAGTAAATATTTAGCATCTTTAGTTTTCCCTATTTTTTGAAATATTGCCTGAGTGTATACTATTCTGATGAATTAGGTACAAGGGCAAAAGTAGTCTCAGACTTCAAAGAGTTTAGAAAGAAGACTGTCTTACTAAACATCAAGTGCCAAAAAATAAAGGGTAACCATCAGATATTTGGGAGTAGGTAGGGCTAAAGATTGCTACAGTGTTTAAAAGCAGTAGGCTGCTGATACAAGTAGGAGAAGTCAAAGGAGGTGAAGTGAGCCAGGTCAATTCCAAGCTGAAGGGCAGAGCTGGGAACAGACAAATGAGGCAGAGGAGGATATGTAGTAGGAAATGACCAATTGCAGGAAATAAGTAAAAAACTTTAAGAGGTAAAATGGTTTAATTACATTTGCTTGTACAAAAATAATTCTGGTGACACTGTTAAAGATGGACTAGAAAGGGGAAGATGGGAAGTAAGTTAAGGCTACCTACATTAATGAAGATGAAATTTAAAATTTAAATTTAAATGCCACAGAGGGGCAGAAGAGGCAGAGGAAGCAGAAAAGAGGCAGAAGTAGTAGAAGAAAGCATTCAGATGATGAGGGAAGCTTTAACTTAGATGAAAACAAATTGAAAGTATTAAAAAAGTTAATCAGATGTAGGACAAGTGGAATTTATGATGTCAGTGGTCACCTGGGCAAAAACATCCAATAGACTCTTGGAAATACGGAATTCAGAAGTGAAAAAACTGAAGCGAGGTTTCTGAGTTCTCATGACCTAAGTGCAAGGGACTCTGTCAGATCATATAGAAATAGTCCTTCAGGGATAAAGACTTAAACATAATCACTAGAGTATTAACCAAACACTTTCTTTACTGCAATGGGTTTTGCAGTGGTTTATATAAAAATTATTACTATTGTTATTAAAAAGCAGTAACAAAACCCACTATAAGTAATCCATGAAGCCATACCATGCTATTAAGCACTATATGAATTCCTTTTGACATCATATAAATATATAGGCTTGGGGAGTTAACTTATTCAAGGTCAAAGAACAATCATAAGGCAACAGATATAACTAAGAGCATGAGCCATGAAGCCTCTGGAGACCGTGTCACTTTAAATTCTGATTTTTGTTGACCTTAAATTCTGATTTTATTGAAAGTCATTTCATGTCCATAGGTCTCTTCAGATTCAATCTATACAGTGTAAGGACAATAACAGTGTATATCACAGTGGTTTAAATTATACTAAACATGTAAAATACACAACAATGCTACCAAATTGCTACTGTTATTAATTTTACTTAGCACTAGGATTAAAGTTCATAGTAGCAGGGTTTTTATTGGGTCTGTTTTATTGGAACAATGTCTGCCAAAAAGTAAGTACTCAATATAGCTTTGTTATTAGATAAATATCCAGTTAATAAGTAGCAGGACCAGAATTTGAGCACAGACACTGTGACTCCAGAGTGTAAATTTTCTTATAAACAATGGCTGAAAAAAAGTATTCCACAAAGTTCAAGTTCTGAAAGTAAAAGCCTTAAGGTGGTGGGAGGGTGGGGAAAGAAGAAACCTAAATCAGAATCCTAAGAATAAGAAGGGAATGAAGGGTTGTAGTAAAGGATCTCAGGTAATGAATAATTTCTGTTTTTAACATTATGGCTTCTTCAAATAGAAAGTACATTTTTTTTTTTGATTTATGACTGATTCTATTAAAAACCTCAAGAATGTTCATAATAAAAGCTTTAAATGTGGGCCCTCCCTGGCGGCGCAACAGATTAGGACGCAGCACTGCAAACTAGCCACAGCCGCTTCAGTGTGAGTTCGATCCCTAGCCAGGAGGTGATCCACATGGCACGGCAGGCCTCTCCTGACTTGCCCATACTCCCCTCAGCAATGTACTCTATCAATCTGCCTGTTCTGCACCCCACTCTGTCTCTGGTGAAGCCTCTCATCATCCTTGCACCTCTGTATGATAAATAAATCTTAAAAAAAAAAAAAAAACTTTAAATGTTACAGAAAGGAAGACGATGGCAAACTCAAATCTCTATTTTCAATTCCCAGAAATAACCATTACTAATGGTATATGTATAATTTATTTAACCAGTTCTACGTTATTAAATAATAAAATCTAGTTGTAATAAACTCCCACACATATATTTTTATGTCTACATATTTTACCACACTGAATAGCATCAACTTTTAAATCATTGCTATTCTGACAGAATGAAAAATAGTAACTGATTATTGGGTTAAATTATATTCCTTGATTACTAGAAATACTGAGTATCTTTCCATATGCATATTATCTGCTTTGACTTTTTTCTTTAAACTATGAATTTGTGCTCTTTGCCTGTTTCTGGTTTTTTTTTTTTTCATTTTGAATTACAGGAACTATTTTGCATGAAGTAAAAGACTAATTTTAGTTCCCTGTAAATTATAAATAGTTTAATAGCTTATAGTTATATTCATTTGGATATCTTCTTACCATATTAAATTTTTCCTCATGCAAATTACAGGTTATTCTGATATAATTAGATTTTATAAGTCTCAAATATTATGACTATACATGGTTTATGAATATTTAAAAATCTTTAACTGGAGGAAGTGACAGCATTGTTCATTAAATCTGTTATTTAATAAATAAAGGGTAGTAGTGTAGATAAGCCAAAATCCTTTCTATTATCTCAGAATGTAAAAATCTAGTGCTGGAATATGGGTGTGTCAATGTGCCAAGAAGCAATCAGGCTGAATGCCAAAAGGAACCCATCAAGTTCTGGTCTCCTTGCCAGTCTTCTGGGCATCTGGTCTCAGCACTCTTGCTCTGCCCTAAAGAAAGGACAGAAACATTCGGGGTTCTCTGTACTCTCTATGCGAGAATACTCGGGTAGAGAAGAGCTTTCAAAGGCCTCTAGAGAGGTTAGCAAGAGGAAAGCCGAGTGAAAACTCAGGGCTTTCCCCCTTCATACGAAATTGATGTAAAACAAAGCTTAACTCATCCTGAGGGAAAAACAGATGACCACAACTCACAGTAGGAACACCAGAACGCAGTAAGAAAGACTTTGATGACTCTGTTTAAAGTGATAATGGGGCAATACAATCTGTAGGAGGTAGGAACTGTTGCTGCTCAGAAATCCATATAACTATCTATGAGCATATGCCAATATTGTGACTCCTGACACCTAGCACTGCTCTGGATAAGTGGGAGCACAAGTAGGTACTCAGGACAGAGGGTGCACCATTCTAGAGCTGCTGGGGTGGGGCCGGGCCACAGAGTTAGGACATTGGTTTGACTCTGAGGCTTTCTATATATTAAATTCAGGAATTGGGAGAGTACTGGGGGGTACACGGGGATACATATCCTTACAGAAGAGGCTGTTACTTGAAGCACAGCTGAGATATCCAAAGCACCTGCAACCCCTCACCTAAATTCAAAACAAAGAAATGATCCTCAAACTAGAGCT